AACAGAGGATAAGTATGTTTTGAAAAGCACATAGATTCAATACTAATGAGGAGTAAAGAAGAAGTAAAGAAATATTATTGTCATTCTTGTAGAAATTCAGGTGCAAATATTGCAGAAAGAATTTGAAAACTGGTTCAAAGCTCTGAATTTGTTATGTCTGTATTTAAGACATTAACTTGTTCCTTTTAATTGTTAACCAAAGTTATTAAGAACATATTAGAGCCAGAAGTTGCTGATTTTTTGGCTGTGACATAAAATCCAAGATAAAAAATGATGAATTTTGCTGTAACTTAAAAAGTCAGTAAAGTTTAAGAGGTTTTAATTCCTTGATGATTTAAATGACTCTGTATTTTACCGTATTTATCTTTTAATTGTGTTCTTGGCTGCAGCGTACGAGTGGCAGGGTCGTAGAAAACCACTGCATCCGGTCAGTGTGGAGATTGAAAACAGGAGGCTGCAGGTGTTGGACAGATCTGGGGTCGCTCACCGCTCCCTCAGTCTGAGAAACCAGAACCACCTGGACATCTTTCTTTCCAGCAGTCATCACCATAAATCTCTCCTGCTCAAAGTACCAAAAGAGTACGACCTGGTAAGTTGCTGACAAGCGATTTAAAACGCCACGGTCCAGTTCCACCTGGTGCAGACAGATTTATGTCGAACAAAGTAAAGTTATCTTTGCTTTTGTGCTGCTGCCAGCTTAATCCCTGATCTAAGCATGACTCTGCAGCTATACCTGATCTCCATCACTTTTATCTTTTTTGCCCTGTGTGTGTGTGTACATCCAGGTGCTGTTTTTTGATGATGAGAGCAAACGTTCAGAGTTTGTCAGCCACTTGCGCCTGGAGCTGGAAGACATGAGGCAGGAGATGAGAGTGAAGGAGATGAGGGAGAGGGAGCTGCTGAAGGAGGCGCTGACCAAAGAGCAGAGGGCTCAGATTGTGGAAACGTTCATTCGCCACGCTTTCTCCAAGGTACAATCAGCCGCTGGACATTTACCTCACATGCTGCTCTATGCAGCGGGAGCAGCTTTAAGTTCGCCCACAAAATGTCGTCAAGTCATGTTTGAGGTCAAACCTCAGGCCGAAGGAACTAATTGTTGGCTTGACCTCTGATGTGACGAGGTCTGAGCTGACCCTCAGCTGACGTTGGCGATATTATACTGTGATGACAAATAATAACTGGGGCTTTAATAAGTGATTATTTGATGATTAATCGATTAATCAAATAACAAAAGGACAGATTTTTCATTTAATCACTAAAGCTGTTTTTATGCAATATTAGAAACATTGGAGATAATACACTATGGTGACAAATACTGAAACAGTCGTTAGTAAAAGCCTTAGTGATTAATCAATTATTCTGACGATTAATTGGAAAACCAAATGGCACATGTTGCAGATTTTTCATTTAACCACTTATGCTTTTTTTTTTATCCCAATATTAGAAATGTTGGAAATATTACATTATAATAACGAGGGCTTTAGCAATCAGTTAGTCTTAAGATTAATTGATTAATCATATAAGAAAATGGCACATTCTGCAGATTTTTCAGTTATCCACTTATTTTTGGCTTTTTTACTGCTTTGAGTTTGTTGTTCTTTGAGCAAATGACGTTTTTGTGTCTTTATACTCTAGTTAATTAATCTGAGTGATAATGAATCTGATGAAACCAATTAATCTTTTCAGCCCTAATAGTAATAATGACATTGCTGTCCTTCGGATGCTCAGGTTCTGGAAATAGAGAAGTGTGATGCTGGAGACATGAGCGGCATCTCCAGGAAGCGGGCCAGAGAGGTTCTGCAGTGCGAGCTGACGGCGTCAGAGTTTGCTGAGGCGCTCGGACTGAAACCGGACTCTTTATTTGTGGACTCCATGTTCACGCTGGCTGATAAAGACGGAAACGGTTACCTCTCTTTTCAGGAGTTTCTTGATGTCATAGTCATCTTTATGAAAGGTGAAAGCAGTGGTAACAACTATATTTTGCATCTTAGATGCATTTTTAGCTGAATTTCTGGCTTTATACAGTTAAGAATTAATTGTTGGTTATTTTTAAGGTTTTCTAAGACACAAAAAAATGTGTTCAGACTGCTTTTGTGTATTTCACAAATAATAATACAAAAATAGTGGATATCTGAAAATACACTGATATTCTGGAATGTGGACATAAAATGCAGTTTATTTACATAATAATGCCATTACTTAAAAAGAATCATTATTAAAGTAATTCTTAAAGTCTTAAATAAATTATTGTAAGTAAAAATTAATGTAGGTTTCAATCTGTTTTTTTGATTTAAGAAAATACACATTAATGTAATGCTAGGTTTCATTTAGTTTATGACATAATTAACAAACAATTGAATGCAACAAAAGTTTGCAAAAAGCCCTGAAATTATGCACTTTATTCTAGTTTTGCACATCGGTCTGTTTGCGCAAACAAATAAATAATTGCACAAATAAATAATTTCACCACATTAGATGAAATTATGTGTAAATTGTTACAAAGGCAGGTTAATTTTGGCGATGGGTTCCCTTTCCTGTTCTGGGAACAATGAGCTGAAGCTATTTGTTTAGTTATAGGAACTGCAGTGAAAAATTTTTATAACTCCAGGATCTCCGGAGGAAAAATCCCAGCTCATGTTCTCCATGAACGACATTGGTGGAACTGGCTACTTATCGAAGGAGGAATTCGCCAGGATGCTCAGGTTTCAGCAGCTCTCCTCTTCGTCTTTGTCATGGCTGAACAGTGTTTACTCGGCCGTTTTGTCCTTACCCTTTTGATGCATTGCAGGTCTTTCATTGAAATCTCCAACGGCGTTCTGTCAAAGACACAGGCAGAGGACGGCATCAAGGCCATGATGCAGGCGGCAGGGTTTGACGACAAGGAGAAAATCTCATGGAGGGACTTTCACTCGCTCCTGAAGGACCATGAGAGGGAGCTGCAGTTCGCGCAACTCAATGTCAAAGGTTTGAGAAAGTTTGGTTTGAAGGTGACCTATATAGATTAGGATAAGTCTAAGAGCGATACAAAACATTTCTATCACATTATTTGGAAAAAAATCACTCTTTGGTAATAACATTTGAGTCAATTCAGCCTATTTTGAGTTCCTTTCAGAATAAGCTCTTGGCCACGCCTCTCAACTCAATGCTTACTCTCACACTGGAAACCAGCTGACCAAACATGCTGGAGCAAGAGGTGATCGATATGGACATAAACCTTTATCACAATATTCAGTGGCATTGTTGAAGTGATGATAAGAACTATTAATTTCTTCTTTTTTCGTTAACTTATGGTTCTGACTACATTACACATCAATCATCACCCAACAAACACAAATGCTGCTCCGTCCCATTTCTGATATGCTTCCTTAAGACATTAGTCACATAAAAAAGTGTGTCTTGTACCATTAAAATGCACACATATTTTCAAATTTAATTTTACTTTAATTGGAAAAAAGACAGTGGAGAAAAAGTAAAACTAACACTCCCAACAATACGGATACATCAAAAAACATTAACTAAATGCCAATAAATGGGTTGGTAGGATTAAAAAAAAAAGTGTTTTAAGAATTAGTAGAAACCCAAATGAAAGTGTAAAAACGTGTAAAAAGGTCCCTTTAAGACCTTTAATTGTCTTTTGTCCTTATTGGATCCATTTCTGTCTTTGCAGGGATGGAGAATCAGGGGAAGAAACGCCTGAGTCGAGATCAGAGAGTGTCCTTCATCCTTCCAGCAAACGGGTAAGAAAGTAGGACAAACCGTTATCTACTGATACAGTACACAAATACTACAATATATGTAAATAAGAAAGCTCATAAGCTGCTAACAGTTTTATTTGATTTTTATCACAGCAGTAGTAAATCAGATGGACTGGAGCTACGAAGGCGGAAAAAGTAAGTCGGTTTTCGGATTTCAGTTTCATGCAAAAACACAAAATCTTACCGAGAACTTTTGTCTAATTTCTAGTTCAAATCTTGATACACTTGAAATGAGACAAAACTGACTTACAAATAACATTTCAGCAACACATAGGAACTTGGTTTAAGTCAATAATCTCTTAATATTGATTAAAAAGTGCAAGTTTCACTGGAGATTATTTCAATTACAACATGGGAAAAACGTATCGTATAAGTTGAATTATCTGCCTGTGAAATTAGTACCTTTTTTTTTTATCAATGTCAAGAAAATAGCATGATTTTCTTGGCCAATCTACACTTCCTGTTATCTTACATGTCATTGGTTGCTGCATTTCAGTCTGAAAGTTGCGTGACGTCTCCAGATTTTAAGATATTCAATAAATGCGAATTAGAATTTGTTTGTATTGGTCACATTACTACCACCCAGAAACCACTTGGTGCATTATTGTAGGTTGCGCAGGAGGCTCTACTTCTGCTTTTCAAAGTTGTACAATTGAATAATTGTAGATCTGTTTGCTGACATGTGTGAGTGTAAATGTTGAGTTAGGGGATACCAGTAGTTGTTTTTTTCTTATTGAAAGTGACAAGAGGCCGTAAAACAGCTCATTAGGAACTAATCAGACAAAAATCTTATTGTTGAAGAAAGATTTTGTCCAAAAAATGATGTGTTGCCCATAGACCCATCCCTGCCTGTTCTAGGAAGCTTTATAGGTCACATTTAAAATTTCACTTTAAACAAACATTTTGGTCAATTTTGTAAAAAGAGAAAGCAGTGAAACAGTATTACAGTTTGTTTTTTTTGGGTTGTTCACAATCAGAAAACTCTTCCCGCACAGACAGTAAGCCAGTATAAACTTAGATGACCATTAAAAAACATGTTACTGATTTGTTTACTTGCAGGTTAAGCGTTAAAGCCCCATCTGTTTACGTGAAACCGAAACGTGAGCAGTACATCAGGAACCCTGTGCAGCAGAAAGTCCAGCAGTTCAAACGTTTCATCGAGAACTACCGCCGCCACATCATTTGTTTCATCGTCGTGTTTGGCATCACAGCCGGTGTGATCACTGAGAGATGCTACTGTGAGTGGAAAACATCACCTCATAAAGACATGTACAAAACATTGAAATACATGGTTGACTGAGACCCTGTGTTCAGTCTACAGTTCTCAGGCTGAAGCCACCGGCGTGCCTGAATCCACAGTGATGGGCATCATAGTCGCTCGCGGCACGGCGGCTGGAATCTCCTTCCTGTATCCCTACATCCTCCTCACCGTGTGTCGAAACCTCATCACGCTGTTGAGAGAAACCTTCCTGAACCGCTACATCCCCTTCGATGCTGCCATCGACTTGCACCGCATCATGGCCATGACGGCCATCGTCCTCTCAGGTCAGTCTGGAGGACTTTGGTATAAAAACAGAGTTAGTTTATTGTCAGTTGTAACAAGCTACATCCAATCAATTACATTTAATTGAGTCCCCTTTTGGAAAAAATTTACTTTTAGGAGTATTTTTACTGTGCTGTCTTAGTTGAGTAAAATGTCTAGATCCAGTAACTTCACTGAATGAAGAACAAAAATGTTTTAACCAAAAAAAAAAGAAAATCACCTGCTGATTTTGCAGCATAAATGTTTTTTTTTTTTTTTGTTATTTAATACTATTTCATATATCAGAAATATATATATATATATATATATATATAAATTCGCTTCTCACCCACCGCGGGTGGTTCTTATCCTCTGCGCTCGGGTCCTCTACCAGAGGCCTGGGAGCTTGAGGGTTCTGCGCAGTATCTTGGCTGTGCCAAGGACTGCACATTTCTGGACTGAGATGTCTGATGTTGTTCCTGGGATCTGTTGTAGCCACTGCTCCAGTTTGGGGGTTACTGCCCCGAGGGCCCCGATGACCACAGGCACCACTGTGGTCTTCACCTTCCAGGCCCTCTCCAGTTCCTCCCTGAGGCCCTGGTATTTCTCTAGTTTCTCGTGCTCCTTTTTCCTGATGTTGCAATCACTTGGTATTGCTACATCTACCACAACGGCTTTCCTCTGATGTTTATCCACTACGACAATGTCTGGTTGGTTCGCCATTACCATTTTGTCTGTCTGGATCTGGAAGTCCCACAGGATCTTAGCTCTGGCGTTCTCCACCACCTTTGGGGTGTTTCCCACTTTGATCTCGGGTTTCCAGTCCATATTCTGCACAGATGTTTCTGTACACTATGCCTGCCACTTGGTTATGTCGCTCCATGTACGCTTTCCCTGCCAGTATCTTGCACCCTGCTGTGATGTGCTGGACTGTCTCAGGGGCCTCCTTGCACAACCTACACCTTGGGTCTTGTCTGGTGTGGTAGATCTGGGCCTCTATTGCTCTGGTGTTTAGGGCCTGTTCCTGGGCGGCCAGGATGAGGGCCTCTGTGCTGTCCTTGAGTCCAGCTTTTTCCAGCCATTGGTAGGATTTACTGAATCAGCCACTTGGGTTATTTGCTGGTGGTACATCCCATGTAGGGGCTTGTCCTCCCATGATGGTATCTCTGGCACCTCAACCTCCGTTCCCTGTTGTCTGAGACATTCACTGAGCACATTGTCTGTTGAGGCTTTGTCCCTGATGTATTTATGGATCTTAGTTGTTTCGTCCTGGACAGTGGTTCTCACACTCACTAGTCCTCTGCCTCCGTCCTTGCGGTCGTGTACAGTCTCAGGGTGCTGGATTTGGGATGGAACCCTCCATGCATGGTTAGTAGCTTTCTAGTCTTAATATCTGTGGCTTTCATCTCCTCCTTTTTGGCCAGCTGATTATTCCAGCAGGGTATCTGATTACTGGCAGGGCATAGCTGTTTATCGCACGGATTTTGTTCTTGCCATTGAGCTGGCTTCTCAGGACTTGCCTTATTCGTTGGAGGTATTTAGCTGTGGCTCCTTTCCTTGTGGCCTCATCGAGGTTGCCATTTGCTTGTGGTATACCTAGGTACTTGTAACTGTCCTCTATGTCTGCTATTGTTCTTGTGGGAGTGAGACTCCTTCTGTGTGGATCACCTTCCCCCTCTTTGTGATCAGCCGACCATTTCTCTAGTCCGAATGACATTCCAATGTCAGTGCTGTAGATCCTGGTGGTGTGGATCAGTGAGTCGATGTCGCTCACTCTTGGCATACAGCTTGATGTCATCCATGTAGAGGAGGTGACTGATGTTGGCCCCATTTTTGAGTCGGTATCCATAGCCAGTCTTGTTGATAATTTGGCTGAGGGGGTTCAGGCCTATGCAGAACAGTAGCGGGGACAGGGCATCTCCTTGGTATATGCCACATTTGATGGACACTTGTGCAAGTGGTTTGCAGTTGGCTTGAAGGGTGGTTTTCCACAGCCTCATCGAGTTTGCAATGAAGGCTCTCAGAATTCTGTTGATGTTATACATCTCTAGGCATTCAATGATCCAAGTATGCGGCATTGAGTCATAGGCTTTCTTGTAATCGATCCAAGCCATGCACAGGTTGGTGTGTCGGGTTTTGCAGTCTCGGGCAACTGTGCGGTCTACGAGGAGTTGGTGTTTGGCTCCTCTGGTATTTACACCGATACCCTTCTGTGCCGTGCTCATGTGTTTATCCATGTGTTTGCTTATCTTGGCCGCTATGATGCCTGACATGAGCTTCCAGGTTGTGGAGAGGCAGGTTATTGGTCGGTAGTTGGGTGGGACTGGACCCTTTGATGGATCCTTCTGGATTAGGATTGTCCGCCCTTCAGTTAACCATTCAGGGTGAGTCCCACTTTGTAGCAGCTGGTTCATTTGGGCTGCCAGTCGCTCATGGAGAGCAGTGAGTTTCTTTTAGCCAGTAGGCATGGATCATGTCAGGCCCTGGTGCTGTCCAGTTTTTCTACCTGAGACTCTTTCTTGAACATCTGTCACAGTGATGGTTACCGGGGCTTGCTCAGGGAGGTTGCTGTGGTCCTCTCGTAGAGAGATCAGCCACTGTGCATTGCTGTTGTGGGACGCCTCCCTTTCCCATATGCCTTTCCAGTATTGTTCAGTCTCCAGCCTTGGTGGGTCTGCTCTGTTGTTATTACCCTGCCATTGAGAGTACACCTTAGCTGGTTGAGTGGAGAAGAGCCGGTTAATCCTTCTATCTCTTTAGGCGGCTGGCCAAGGCTTGGAGCCTCTGTTTGGCAGTCTCGAGTGCTTCAGGTATGGGCATCTGGCTGTACTTTCTGGGTACTGGTCTTTTCATTGTACCCTTGTGGAGCTCTGACAGTTGGCTCACTTCCCTCCTTGTTACCTTGATTTTAGCCTCTAACCGTCTTTTCCATGGTGGGTATTGGGTCTCATGGTTGCTCTTATAGCCAAGTATCTCAAGGATCACTGATGCTGAGTTGTAGATCAGCTCATTGGTTTCTGTTATGGTGTTGGTAGGGATCGTTCTCAATGCTGCATTCACATTCTCAATGAGACTTTCTGATGGTACTTCACTCAGCCGTTTGTAATTGGCGCCGGGGAGGCCTGGTTGTCATTCGGGTCATGATTCTCTCTCTCAGGTCAGCAGCTGTCTCGTTCAGCTCTGTTTCGCTCATTGGGGCCGTGTATCCCCTCACTGGGTGGGGACTTGTAGTTAAGTCCCCACAGTCCTGACATCCGGGTTCCTCCCTTTTGCCGTAGCATTTGTGTTGTATCTCGTCAATCTCAAGTTGTGATAGCAGTTGCCGTTTGCGGATGTTGGAACACTGAGCTACTAGTTGTTTAGCGCTTAGTGTTGACTGGGGATGTCGAAGTAACCATTCCTTCCCCAGTCTTTGCATGTAACCTCTCTCACTAGGGTTACTTGAGTAGTAGCATTCCAACAGATCCACATTTTCATCTCTCGCCCATTTCCGTCTTGTTCCAGTAGCCCATTTGTCATCAAGGTGCTCTGGTTCCCCAACACCTGACGCAGACCTTGTTTGGCCGGGCGACGTCTGAGCCGGCATGTTATGCAACTTAGTATCTCTCATGGTATGAGGTAGGCAGTAGCTTGAAGGGTCTTGCCTAAGGACCCAGACTGGATTCGAACCCTGCCCTCTCGGGTGATATACTGATGCCTTATGTATTGAGCTATCCAGTATATATATATATATATATATATATATATATATATATATATATATATATATATATATATATATATATACATGAGCTATTTTAATTTTGATCTTTAAAATATCAAAATTTCCACTTAACTTTATATTGTGATCCATCTTATGAAGTAATTTTTACCAAATGCTTTTTTACTTTTACTTGAGTAAAAATATGTTTAAGTAGAACTACTTTTTTTGCCTAAAAATTAAGTAATAAATAGTTAATTTCATAATAATAATTTTAAAAAAAAATATTGTGATAAAATATCGCCCAACTGCAGCTGCAGTTTAAGGCATTATATTGGAAAGTAACATAGTTGCTTGATTGTACTACAAAATGTAGATGAATGGAAAATTCACCTTTAAAAAGCCTGACCTGCTGATACAGATATTTTTGCCTGAATTGAAATTGTTTTTCACACTGTAACTGTTCAGTTTATTCTTTGTCACTTAAACATGTCAGCTTGCCAAATTTCCACACAGATCGACATGATAACATTAAAAAAAAGGTGCAAAAACACAAATATACCATGTTTTACCTAAATCCTCGAAGATGGTCTCGCATAAAACACTAAAATATTTATCTTTAAAGTTTTGCAATTTACAGAGCATTCACCAAATAATTAGAGCTGTGTTTACTTCAAGCTCTTTGTGCTGAAAACAGCATCATTAAGTTCTTAAAGGGGGTTTTATTCATCATTGCAGTGTGTTCCTCCTGTAACATCATTGAATTAAATATGCCAGTGTTTTCCAGGGCTTAGTTGTTTATCCTTCAGGGGCGTATTTAATCTTTTTTGCTTTAAAATGAGACAAGATGGCTTTCTTGCATGACATCTGGCATGACAAAAGAGGTTTAAAGTCTTTTCTCTTAACCAGGATAAGACTTTGAGCTAAGAAGCGAGGACCAGTCACTGTTTAATTATTATTTCTTGCCTAAGCAGCGTTCTCTGGTTTCCCAGTGAAAATGTGAATCAGTGGTTTTTGCTGGTTTTTGTGTTTCCACTGCAGTTGCTCACAGTTTGGGCCATGTGGTCAACATCTACATGTTTTCCATCAGCGACCTCAACATCCTTTCCTGCCTGTTCCCAAACGTCATTGTCAACAATGGGTAACATTTTAAAGTTACACATTTCATTGACAGATTTGGAGATGTCTAGATTAGCATTAGCTTCCCCCTTAGCAAAACCATTGTACAATTTTTTTTTTCTCATTGTTAAATTCTTTTAGCATAAATGCTGCATCAGACCTTCTCATTTTGGTTGGCTGTGAGTTTTCTTAGGGTCATTTCAGTTTTCTTTCTTGACAAAAACTTTTCCTTGTTGCGTTGCTATGCCAGCTTGAGGTGCAGAGCAGCTTAATAAATTTGACAATAAACCGTCAGGACGATGAGAATAGCACATAAAATTTCTATAAATTCTTTTAACTTATATTTTATAATAATTATAGAAAAACTGTATGTAGGAGGGTCCCAAGTTCCCAAATTCTAACTTTTTGATTTCAGAGAATTAAAGTCACAATTCTGACCTCATAATACTAAGAAAAAAGTTAGAATTCAGAGATTAAAGTCAAAATTATGAGATGAAAGTCAGACTTATAAAAAAAAAAGTTAGAATTCCAAGAAGTCAGAATTCTGAGATTAAAATTTGAATTCTGAGAAAAGTCAGAATTCTGAGAAAAGTCAAAATTCTGAGAAGTCAAAATTTTGAGATTAATGTCAAAATTCTGAGAAAAAAGTACAAATTTTCAGATTAAATTGAAAATTCAGAGAAAAGTCAAAATTCTGAGATTAAAGTTAGAATTCTGAGAAAATGATTTCCAGTGAACATAATATATAGCATTTATAATTCTTTTATAATTCTTTTTTTACATATTCCCTCCAACTTTCTCCGGCCTCCATAGCGCCTCCTGGTAGCTGACCACAGCCCCACATTTTGAAAAACACTGATTTAAGTAATTCACTGTGTTATTTTTCCATTTTAGGTCTGAAATTCCTCCTAAGTGGTACTGGTGGTTCTTTCAGACAGTTCCAGGTAGACTTTTAATCTGATTTTATAGTTTAGATATTTGTCAAAGCTTTTTGTGTCATTTTTCCCTTCTGCTTCTCTGTAGGAATCACCGGCGTCCTGCTTCTCTTTGCCTTTGCATTCATGTATGTTTTTGCCTCCCATTACTTCCGGCGCATCAGTTTTCGTGGGTTTTGGATCACTCATTACCTCTACGTTGTTGTGTACATTCTGGTAAGCACTTTCTGAGCTCAGCTCTCTGATGAGGAGGCAGTTATGATTGTCTGATACCAGTGTGTGTGCGTGTGTGTGTGTGTGTGTGTGTTCATCAGACGGTCATACACGGCAGCTACGCTCTGCTGCAGGAGCCTCGTTTCCACGTCTACCTGATCCCGCCCAGCCTGCTCTTCCTGCTGGACAAACTGATCAGCCTGAGCAGGAAAAAGTTGGAGATCCCTGTTCTCAGAGCCGAGCTGCTGCCTTCAGGTAATATTCTTAATTTATCGTCTTTGAAGGTATTAGGCTGATAAAGAACATAATAATCCAGTTGAAAATTGTTTTGCACAAAATTATTCTTTGAAAATGTTGATTTTAGTCTGGTTAGTTCTGCATACACTGCAAATACACAAAATATTACCTAGTATTTCTGTCTAATCTTTAGTGCAAATTTTTCAGAAAGACAAAAGATACTGTTTTAAATTAATAATCCCTTAATATTGATACTAAAAAGTACTAGATTTTGCCTTATAACCAAACATTTCCCATGTTTTAAGTGAAAAAAATCTGCCAGTGGAACTAGTTCTTAATTATTAACAAAATTAAGGAATTACAGAAACAAACTGCTATATGTTTAGCTGCAAAGTTATTTGAAAGTCAGTTTTAGTTTTCTTATTTGCACTAAAAAAATTAAACAAAAAATATTTTGTAAGATTTTTTTGTTTTGCAGTGTATTTTTAGCTCCTTTCAGAATAAGCTGTTTTAAGGCCTGTTGTCACTTTAAATGAAAATAAGCAGCAGCTGGCAAACGTTTCTCAAACTCAACTGAAGATGGCTGCAAAACGATGCCCAATTGTACAACAATACATCTAATTTTCCATACATCAAAAAAAACAAAACATGAAACCTGCCAAAAAAACGAAATGTTTTTTTAGAAAGTTGTGAATTTTGCATATTAGGTCCCATTTAAAATAAACTCATTTCTCAGTCTTATCTCTTGTCTACACTCTATCCTTCCCGAAGGCGTGACACATCTGGAGTTCAAGCGTCCCCCAGGCTTCGTGTACCGTTCAGGCCAGTGGGTTCGGGTCGCCTGCTTGGTGTTGGGCACAGACGAGTACCACCCATTCACTCTGACTTCAGCCCCGCATGAGGAGAACCTGAGCCTGCACATCCGGGCCGTGGGTCCCTGGACCAGTCGGCTCAGAGAGCTCTACACCGAGGAGAGCCTCCTGGAGTTTGGTTCCTATCCAAAAGTTTGCCTCTTTACTGCTGTCTCACCTGTTTTAATGGTTTTTGGCCCTTTTTGACAGTAATGAAGGGATTTTCTTTAATTTGAAGCTCTACTTGGATGGACCGTTCGGCGAAGGCCATCAGGAGTGGAACGACTTTGAGGTGTCTGTTCTAGTCGGAGGAGGAATCGGCGTCACACCGTTCACCTCCATCCTCAAGGACCTGGTGTTCAAGTCCTCCATCAAGTCCAAGATTCTGTGCAAAAAGGTTTGCCTTAAAATCAGAACAACCACCCGCCATCTTTAATGGCACCTCTGGAGAAGAAGAAACTTCCGATTTTAAACATGACACAAAAATACTTAAGATTTTGCATTTCTTCTATTTTTCCACTTCAATAAAATATACATTTGCTACAGAGTTTTATACAAATCTTTACTGGTGCTTCGAAAACAGAGTAAAAATAAATAAAATATTTCTTAGAAAGTGTTGAAACTGCTGTAACTCATATTTAATTGTATCTGTGAACCCTCTCAGTAACCCCTGTTGTCTGAAGGTTTATTTCATCTGGGTGACCCGAACGCAGCGCCAGTTTGAGTGGGTCTCAGACATCATCAGGGAGGTGGAGGAAATGGACACTCAGGAGCTGGTCTCCGTCCACACGTACATCACCCAGGTGGCCGAGAAGTTCGACCTGCGCACCACCATGCTGGTGAGCTTAGCACTGCTTGCTAGTGGGAAGCGGCTAAAGCTTACGATTATGTTAGCAGACAATGTTTATGGGCTTCGCCAAGATGATGGTTCAATATTTTAAAGGGGTTGTATAATGTAAAATCCACTTTTTTTTAGCTTTACGTCATGTTCTAATGTTATTCCCGCATTAAAATCAAGTTTTGCTTTGATTCTTCCAAGAATCATGTTGGAGAAATCCTTTAATCTTCATGGTAACCATCAGGCTGTGGTGGACTAGCCCCGCCCTCTTTGGAGATTCAGTTTCCAGGCGTCAGAGCGTCTGCCTCACAAAGAAGACCTCGGCTCCTTCAGACTAGCCAGCAACAGTTAGCATACACCTGGTAGAAATGCACATCTGCTGAGTTCATTTTACGAGCTGGGAATCGCTGGTAAAAACTTCGTTAAAGGGTTAATGGAGGAGCCCTGATATGATGACTTCCTGAAGGCAGAGTTCCAGAAAGAGCGGGAGTTTCTTAAAGAGACAGAGGCCCAATTTCAAGAAGTTCAATCAGGAAGAAATTTTTTAGTCATTTGGCAAATGTATACAAAACTGAAGAGCCCACCGAACTGAACCCCGTTGAAAACCTCCTGGTTATTCCACCAAATATTGATTACTGAAGTCTTCCGCAGTTAAAACATTGGCATTGTTGTTTCTAAATCAATCTGAACTTGTTTTCTTTGCATTATTTGAGCTCTCAAAGGACTGCAACTTTTTTGTCATTTTGACCATTTATCATTTTCTGCAAATAAATACAAAATTCTTGCTTGTAATTTCAGAGACGTGTTGTCAGTAGTTCATAGAATTAAACAACAATGTTCATTTTACTCAAACATAAACCTATAAAAAGTAAAACTAATAATTTTAAGAGGTCTCTTAATTTTATCCAGAGCTTTATATGGCATTTCTATAACAACTGAAGGTAACATAGTAACTTGATTATATTATAAAATTTCACTTTGTGGCTGGAAAACACGTACTGCCCCTTTAAGTAGAAAGTAGTTCACTTCCCAGGTAACTTGAACGTTTTCATTAGAGTTCAAAGGTTTCCATACTTCTTTTAAAGATATTTTGTATTTCAACTTTTTTATCATGTTAAATTTAGATTTGTTTCAGTTTATTAGCCATGACTTCTACTTCAGATATCAATTTGTTTATTTTACCAAGACTTTAAGACTTTCCTCTGTGCAGTATGTGTGTGAGCGCCACTTTCAGAAGGTGTGGAACCGCAGCCTCTTCACCGGCCTGCGCTCCGTCACTCACTTTGGCCGTCCGCCCTTCGTCTCCTTCTTCAGCTCTTTGCAGGAAGTTCACCCTGAGGTCAGCGCTCTGTCACTGCGGATCTGAGTGGGCAGGGCCACCAGGGGGCGCTAGAGGAGAAAAAACTGGGGGGAAAAAAAGTTCACATTAGTTATTTAGTTCTTATTACAAGACATAAGTTAAAATAACTTTGAGATGGAAGAGAAAAGCCTTTATTGTCCCACGGAGGGAAAATTCAGGGAATTATTTATCAGTCAAGTTTATCAAGTTGTTTAAGAAAAGTTTCAGACAAGAAAAAGACAGAAGGAAGAAAAAAAACTAAACTGTGATGGTTAAATAAAATTTGATGGGCTTAATTTAAAATATTACACATTGTCTTATGAAAACATTTTATCTGATATATTATTCAACATCAGATATAAAAAGTACCTCATCATATTTTCCATCCATGAACTAATTTCTAACTAAAATCAGAAAGTATGAGGCAGCATTTCTGCTGAAAAGAATCAGAATTATTTTCATTGTCGTTTTGCATGGAAGAAAGCACAACAAAATTTAAAATAGTAAATAAAAGTGAGGGAAAAATATAAATGCCAATATTTTACATTTATTAATTAAAGATTTTATGTAATCTTTATTTGACAAGATTAAATAAAATATATAATTTTTGTATTTGCATTACTGAAATAAAATTAGAGAAATATTTTATTGATAAAATAAAATAAAATTCATTTTATTTAACCTGATTAAATGAAACATTCTTTTTATTTAATGAAAATAAAAGGATAAAATTCAATGTTTCCATATTTTGCAGCATTCTGTATAGTTAACAATATTTCACTTTTGAAGCTTCATGGTCCTTTATCATTTTTCTGCAGGTCGGTAAAATCGGTGTGTTCAGCTGCGGACCGCCTGGCCTGACCAAGAACGTGGAGAAAGCGTGTCAGAAGATGAACAAGAGAGATCAGGCCTATTTCATGCATCACTATGAAAACTTCTGATCAGCCCTGAGCTTTTAGTTACAGAAATAACACTATTAATAATTAACAATATGTCAGCAAAATGCTTCAACCATTGCAGAAGGATTTTGTTTTTTTTGTTTTATTTAATCCACCTAATTAAACATGTTTTCCTTGCAGCTTTGTTCTCTAATCAGAAACAAGATTTGTGCATTGATTGCAATCAGGAGCAGGAATGTTTAACTTGTTCAAAGTCATAGGAATTAATTTTATTTTCATAATTCCCTTTCTTTATTCATGACCTCTGTAAAAATACAAAATACCAAGTATTACTTATCTAGTGATATCTTAGAAATAAGACAAAACTAACTTACAAGTAACTTATCAAGAAGATATAGGAGTTTGTTTAAAGCCAATAATTTCTTAATATTGATAACATGGGAAAATGTTTTTCTTATAAGTAAAATAATCTGTGAATGAAATAATCAATATTAAAGAATTATGAGTTTAAAACAAGCTCCTCTATCTTGCTGAAAAGTTACTTGTAAGTCAGGTTTCGTCTCATTTTTTGTGTTTTAAGATTTTTGCAGTGGAGCAAGTCATTTATTTGTTTGCTGTGGATGGAAATGGATTCAAGCCTTCTTCATTTGCAAATGAAAAAAAAAGTTTCATCACTATGCAGACATATTTGTGTGAATTTTTGGAATACATTTTAAAAATCATGCCTTTATTGTTTCCTGGTGTTCAACCTGTAATAAAATATTTCATCTGTCTTGGGGAGCTTCGATTATATAAGGACCTGTGAGGTTTTGTGCAGCGAAGGCTCTCAAATTTCTGCCGTCGGCTCCTTCTGGTGCAGCTCGCTTTTAGACTGGAACTGCACTCGGGTTCATCCAAACTCAAATTGGATTTATTGGTCGACTGCTAAGGCAGGCTGCTCTGCTGAAATGTTAAATTCTCTCAAACAGTCTGCAGTTTTCTGTGTGTGTCGTGTAATTATGTGAACTTCTCAGCCTGCGCAGCCCTTGCCCTGCTTGCTTATTGACTTGAATTAGTTTAATATTTGTTATGCTTGGTGATTGTTGGAGATCAGTCTATTTATGAATCAAATATATTCCAGGTTAAGAAACTGGGTTTATTGCAACATTCATCCATGTAGGATTTAAATACTTTTCTTATTTTCCTTTTTGCCCTTTTTTCTTTTGTTTCTTGTTTCTTTTGTCCATGTTTTGTCTTTTTTCCTCTTTTTCCTTTCTCTGCTTTTCGTTCTTTTTCCTGTTTTTTTATGTTTCTTTTCTTTTAATTATTTTCTTTTATTTTAATTCCTTTTCTTTCTTTTCTACTTTGTCATTTTTTTCTTTTCCTTTTTTCCCCTTTAGTTTTTTTATTTCATTTTTCTGACTTTTTTGTCTTTTTATTTTGCCTTTTTTAATTTTTCTTTTACTCAATTAAATATATATGTATCTTTTTACTAGGATTAAGTGATCATAAACAAAACTAAACTTGTGTTAAATAATTGTAAAGTGTGAATTTTATACTTTTTTGACTTCTTTAGGAAACTAATTTTGTTTAATTTTATTTAGGGGTGTTGGAATAAAGTAGGACTTTTAAAGTACAATTAAATTCAGCTTCATGACAAAATAAAACAAAACAAAAAAACTAAAATTGTTCAGTTTTAAATTCAGTCTCAGCAGATGTGAGTGTAAAGTAAAATAAATATTGATTTGTTGTAAATCCATATTGAGTCGCACATTTTTAGTCCCAATGATTTTTTTCGACGTGGAAAAAATAATAATTGTGTTTTTTCTGGTGAGTTGAAGTGAAATAGCGCCCTCTGATGGAAAAGAGCCGCTCATCCTCACCTCCATCACAGCAGCTGGATAAAAATTTGGTCCAAGGTCATATCGATTTGTGCTGCTTTTATTCCTATTTTTATAGATTTTCAGTACAATATATTAAGCTCTCCTTTTAACCGCCCTTGCTCCATCCAATTACATGTTAAATGCTTCTCTGCGGTTCGGCGTGACGGGTCGGTGCACATCAGGAACGGGTTTTAATCTTGCTTTAATCGGGTGTCACATTCACAGCAATAACCAGGAAGGTGAAGTTGTTGGAGGACTGATCAATGGACTGATGAATGCTGCAACTTTCTTGCTCAGGAGGGACCTTAGCTGTACGTCTCATTCACTTTACACAAGTTTTCCACAATGAGTGGAGGAGTTGAATCACTAACCTTGTTTTCAAAGTCCCTGGAGCTTTTCGGGCCAGTCAGCAGGACCAAAATAACTTCTGAAATATTCTCCAAGAAGGAGCTGGGAAGAAAAAAGGAAGAATACAGATGGTTTTTCAAGCCTGATGGTATAAAGGTGACCTGATATGTTTCCTTGAACAGGTTAGGAAAGGTCTGTGGTCTACACAAAACATATTCGTTACATTTTTCTGCACAAAGTCATTCTTAAAAAAAGATATTTTAGTCTCCTCAGTTCTGCCTATTTTGAGGTTTTAGGGCATCTTGTCACTAAATCCAAACAGTCTGCTGCTGGGCTCGCCGCCCAATTCAACATTTACACTCATACATGGAAATGGCTGCAAAAAGATGCCCAATTATACAACCGTGCATCTTTGAAAAGCAGAAATAAAGCCTCCTGCACAACCAACAACAATGCAGCAAGGGTTAGCGTTTCTAGATGGTAATTTAAAAACTAAACACTTGTGGGGGGTTTTCCCAGCAGCCATTGTACACCAGTAAAATCAGACGACCAATCATGTTGGAGCTCAGCCTGGGTTGCTAGGTGACAGACGGAGTTCCACTGGTGTTGCTAGGTAACGGGCTGAGCTTCACTTGCTGATTTTTAATGTTACATTCCAGAAGTTTTTGAAACAGCTCATTTAACATTAACTTATTGCCACAAAAACATCTGGGTGGCTCTTTTAAGCACTTGGACAGACGCAGCTGAGACCCAACTGGAAGAACAAAACATTTTAATTTTGCATAATATGTCTCCTTTAACGTCTGCTTCAATGAATGTCTTAATCTACCAACAAGAGAAGAGACAATGCACAACATGTTTAGTATGTGTGAGGAGCGTAGAGCAGTGTGCATGGCGGTACTTAAGAGGCTGTTAATCTTCTTAGAGCTGTTAAGTACCCAGCTAAAAATCAGCTAGTGTCCAGATTGTTTCTTCCTGCCCCAGATAAACGACTCAGACGACAACAAAGGGTTAGCTCAAAGAAATATGTGGTGGAGTGTTCACACTGGCAGGAAATATGCACTTCCTCTCCTTTGGGAGCTGTGCTGACAGAGCGGTGGGAGAAGTTTTGGTGGGCCTCCACGACTTGAAGATGTTTGGCAGCGGCTCCAAGAAGTGGTTTGTGAAAAAGCAGAAGAAGCAGCAGCAGAAATCTGGCAAGAGGCCATGCACCAGGAAGAGGAAGAAATGGGCGGAGAAGATCCTCAAAGAGCACAGAGAGCAGATCCTCAGTCAGCTGGATGTCAACGCCGTGCTGCCCTACCTGGTGTACGACAAGGTCTTCTCACTGGTGGAGTACAAGGAGATCCTGGGACAGGAGTCCAGCAGGGGACGGGCAGAGGTGTTCCTAAATCACCTGTCCTCTAAAGGGCCCGCTGCTTTCTGCTCGTTCTGCTCCGTTTTGGAGGAGGTGTGTCCCCGCCTGCTGACCTGCTTCCTGTTGGATGGAGAAGGTACACACAGATGGAGAAGCTTTTATTCCTTGATAATTACCACCGCACTAAAAAAAGAAAATGCAGCCGCAGTGTTGTTTAAGTTTTCAACCAGGCACCTGTTAAATGCGGACAGCCTGAGCAAAGAGCTGAAACTATTTATCAGCAGGCGTGTCGCAATAAGCAATAAATCAATTAATCGCATGATAAATTAAATAATTCCCATTTACATGATTAATTGTTTCTGTCTTTCTATTAAATCTGGCTGACAAAAGTCTTCAGTCTGGTGTTTTGATCTCAACTAGCCCTTTTTTGACAGATAAATTTGTTTTATTCATTTTATTTGTTGTTTGTTTTGTTTGTTTATTTTTGATATTTAAAGCGTCTTCCAGCTCTACTATTAAATGTTACAATTAATTGATTTTTGACTACACGTTATTGCATTATTATACTATATTATGTTGCTTAAAAATGGTCTCAAAATGATATTGTTTATCACAATTTCTGGGATGAGTTATTGTCCAGCAAAATTTGTTACCGTGGCAAGCCTATTAATCGGATTAATCATTTATTGGCATAATCGTCAACTAATTTAGTAATTTATTAATCGTTATCTGGAGTGTACAGTGTAAAATAAAAAGCCACTTGGTGAAAAAACAACAGTAATTATGCCAAAGCTGCACAAAAATATTTACATTTTCCACTTAAATAAAACAGAAAAATATTTGCTTTGTCCATAAATATTTTCCATATTTAATATTTAATATTAATATTTAAGTGGCATAGTTTTAAATTCAAGAAGAATTTTCTTGAAAAGCACTTTTTGTTATGGAAATAATTTTTTTAGCTGCTAATGTTTTTGTCAAGCTAAAAGAATAATATTTCAGGCAACAAGCGATCATTTTTATTTTTTATTTTTTTAAGGGACTAAATTATTTCTAATATTAGAGAGAAAAAATATTAGGTTGTTCAATGTAAAACCTGTAAAATGTACTATTTAAAAAAATGTATTAATTAAACAAAACAGAGTGTCTTTGGTCAGAGGCATGTTCAAATTCGCTGTAATACAGACCGCTACAGGAGATTTCTCCTGTCAACGGCCAACACCATCTCCAATAGCTCTTTGAAAACTTTAACATAATATGAGTTACAACAACATTTTATTTCACTTTGGGATCAATAAAGTATTTTTGAATATTGAATTTAATCATCAGAATAACTGATGACTAAAATAATGGGAAATTGCAGACCTAATCGCAACATAGTTTTGATTGCGTTGAACTCACCATGTGAAGTAAAACAAAGAAAAATGACAAAGACAGAAAAAACTACTTATCAGTAAGCCAGAGACTCAGACTAAGAGTCTGCAAAAATAGCCTCTTAAATCTGGGTGGCTGAGGGGATTACCGAGCAGCCAGCGCTGCTAACTAGCCTGCTACAACATATGGCCTGACGTGGCAGCAGTTTGCACCGTTTCACTCACAGTGACCTGCAAAAGTGTTCAACCTTTAAATTATACTTGGACCTTAGGCGTTAAACAAACACAAAATAGTGAATATGTGAAGAAAAACCCAGGAGAAGCAGCAGAGAGCCAGGTGGAAATCTGTTGACAGGACAACTGTTAGTCCTGCAACCCAGAAATCTGGACTTTATGGAACCATTACTAAAACAAAAAAAACAAGATGTTCTATTCACAGAAAACGTAGGGGACCCAGCATCATACGGAGGGGGACAATTTTCTTCAGCAGGGACAGGAATACCAGAAATGCTCTAAAATCAATTCTTATTATAAAACACTTATTTTATATTTACTCTGTTATTATTATTATTCATATGGCTTGGAAAGAAAATCAGTGGTATCAGTTATCGAGCATTGCTACCGGTCACAGTTATGGTAAGATGTATAGACCAATCCTGGAAGAATCTGTGATTTCTCCGCTAGAATTTAAATCGGGCCAATCAGCAAGCAGAACCAAACGACAATATAGATTTTGTGCTCCGTTTTAGAATCGTAGTCCCCTTCAGATGTAGCAATGGCGACGAATAAAGTGAACAAAGCCATTCAGTCCGTGTTGGTCTTGCTTCCCAATACTGAATCAACATTAACAGCCGTTCGGCTCTTGCCTCCCTTCTTAGTGGTTGTTTACAGCGCAGGCCACTTCCGGTAAGCTTCATAGCCTCGAAGTGGCGCATTTCCATACGTCACGGGTAAACGTTAGCTCACATCTACAGCAAGCAATCGCTGTAGCTGTAGAGGTTCCTCTATCTATCTAATCATGACACAAGGTAAACAAACCTCTGAGGATAAATACTTTTATAATGTACTATCATAGCCCACCTTTTTGCCTGAGTGAGTTTCTTCAGGGTAATGCCAAACTTATAGGATGAGATGTAAATAAAGAAAAAGGTAAACTATTCCTCTGCATCCACAGATGGAGCCCCAGGACGGCGCAAGAAGGTGGTGTTCTCCATACCTGCAAAAAGTCCAGCAGAGCAGCATCTGTGTCCACCGCCAATGTACACGAATCCCATGTTCAACACAAGGTGAGCCCACAGTACATGCAGCAAATTTCACCTACAATTATACAAAAATAAAAAATCCTAAATGTTTTGAGTGTTCAATTTCATTACTTTTTTTTTAAACAAATTTGTAAAATAAAGATAAGTTGACTGCAAAAACTCAAAATTGTGCCAATTATTTTTGGTGTGGTCACTAGTCCAAATATCCTAGTACACTTGAAATAAGATGAAATTCACAAAGTTTCAAAAACCTCTGAAATGTAAAGTCATAACTGAAAGGCTCTGTGTGGTCAACTACCAACCTCTGCCATTCACCCATCAACCAAAAGATAAGCTCCATCATGTTTGTTTGCACTGTGCAATGGCTGCTGGAGAAGTTTTTTTTATTCACTTGCCATTCAGAAACCACGTACTGCATTCTTGTTGGTTGTGCAGGAGGTTCCACTTCTGCTTTTCAAAGATGTACAGTTGTAGAATATTTTTGTCTTAATTCAAGTGTAATAATTTATTTGTACTTGAAACTAGCGATGCAAGAAAAAATACTTTGTAAGCCTATTTTTCCAGTGAACATCCTTGATGGTTTTATAACTATTCTTCTGTTTGATGTCATTTTGACTTGGAGGCATGACCAGCATATTTGAATTTAAGGTGATAAGAATCTCTGAAACTGCTCATTCTGAAAGGAGACTAAAGGATTTTTGTGCAAAAAATGAAATGTGTTTTGGCCAATCCCAACCAAGAAAGAATAATAGGTCACCTTTAGAAATGAAAGAGGATGTGGGAGGAAGAAAAAGGTTGACACTAAAAATGAAAAACAGGAGCATAAAATGAGATTTGCTGAGCCAGTCTCCTGAAGAACAACTAGAGGAGCTTCACTGCAGTCGATTGTGTCACTGTGTGTCACAGTGAATGTGTCACGACTGTGAGGCGATGTCTGTCCGGGTGTGTGTGTGTGTGTAGCATGTTGGACCTCTGGAGATCCCTCTAACGCTGCAGCCGAGTGCAGGGGGAAGGGGGGGTCTCTACATGCAGTGTGAGTGTGTTTGGCAGTCTGACCGGCCGTAGGGGGGCAGAGGTCACATGGATGTGATGGGACAGAAAAGCTGATATGCTCTCTAGACCGTTAAGGAGGCCTTTTTAATTTATGACAGCAAAGTCAGCGCAGAGACAGCCATCCCAGTGGTCTGTCCCTGGGTAGTGACACACACAAACAGACAGGCTGACAGAAATAAACCAACACACACAACAAAGCATAGCAGCACACACTGCCAGAATGGTCACAGAGCTTCCACAGGAGATGCAGCTCGCTAACAAGGCAACGTAAGTCTGCTTAAAATTTAATGACAGATTTATGCAGTTTTATTTGGGTTCATACCAAATCGACCCTCTTTGGACTACAGCTGAAGGTATGGGTTGATTTTTAGCTTTTCAAAGTATTTCAAGATAAAAAACACTATCTTTAATTTGCTAATTCTTGGAAGAAGGAGGATGAACTGCCTAAAGTAATGGCTGCCTTATTATGCCAGAGCATGGCTTTGAATGTGCTCTGGTGGCAATTATCTGACCTGTGCGTTAGCGCCAATTCGAGTTGGGTCTTTGGATATTTCTTCCATCCAAGCGGAGGCATATTGTCGGCTGTGTGCGGTTCAGAAAGGCATTGTGTTTATTAGTTTTTGTGTCAGCCTCTTGTCCGTGTCCTGCTGACTGGGAGCGAGTGTGCTGGATTTAATTACATCTCTGGGCTTCTGTTTCATGGGCCTGCTGGTTGCCAGATTGAACGGTGCCTTGCAAACGTCTCCATAACCTTTCAACCTTTTCATATTCTGTGTTTTATTGGGATTTAATGCGACAATCCAAGACAAATGGCAATCGAAAGGATTTGTTGTTTTCAAATCTTTTATAAATAATAGAAATTAAAGTGGTTTTTACTGTCCCACAGTGGGAAAATTCAGGTGTAGCAAAATGACAGGCAATCGAGGTTCACACAAAGATGAACGTTTAAAAACAGGTAAGCAACAAAACAATAATTTTATTTTTAATTTGCAATCATTATCAATTTAACAATTTAAATTTATATAAATTATTAAGTTTATTTTTAATTTGAAACCATTGTACTTTGTACATATGAGTTTTATGTAAAAGTCATAGATCCAAGTTAGGTGATTTCTATTTATATTTTCAGATTTTTATCAATATAAACAATATTCGACCATCTGAAAAGTTTGAAGTTATAGTCGGTTTCTTTGGGACCAACACAGAGGTCTTAGCTTGGGAAATTATTAAACCCTAAATTTACACCTGCTGATGTGTAGGACTGTAATTTGAACTAATAAAATATTTTTTTCTTAGTTGACAGGGCACCAAAACTGGCTTCAACTCGTGGCCCTCATCCGTTTAGATCCGGCCCTGTTCAGAAAGCATCACAGTTTTG